GCCACAGTCCTTTGTTTACAGTCCCCACCAAAACACAGAGTTGCATCCACGGACCCAACCAACCAAAAAGACATAAGAAAGGATCCCCTCATCAAACTTTTAGGACCCCAGAATGATCTTCATGATGTGCTGTAGTTCATTTCACTCCCAGGACCCTGGGGCACAGAAGAGGTTGTGAGGAGGCTCCAGAGAGGCCAAAGCAGGCTCCTTTTCTACTGCAAATGTCTCAATGTCCAGAAAGACGTCATCTAGACCAGAGTCCTTCAAGTTCCAGGAGCTCAGAGCATCTAGGAAGGTGGGATCAGGTTGGGGTGGCAGTTCATTCTGGAAGCCAGGGGGAGCCACCAGATTCTGACTCAATCTCATCTATGGAGGTTTCCAGCTCTCTGAGGATAGAGCCAATAGTGGCCGATAAAGAGAAATCCTTCTCACCCAGAAAAAGGGGTTTGGGGGCAGGGCAGGGGCAGGAGCTAGGCAATGTGTGGCCTGGAGCTGCTGGAGAGTGCTATGGATCAGGATATGCCTGCAGAGGGTGGCTGCCCAGGAACTTGGGCTATGCTGGACTTTGTCTAGGGAAATGTGGAGCAGGGCTTGCTGGTAGTTCCAAAGGCCTGCTGGACTCCAGTCTGACTTCTCATCCTCTTCCTCCTCCTCTTCCAGATTGGAGTGTTTCCTCTTCAAGCCTCCCTCCATGATGCCCTCAGTTGCCAGGTTTGCAAAGACTACCACCTGGAATACCGGCAGTGTTGCAACCCACCAGTGCTGGAAAGCCAGACCAGGCTTTTTCAACCTCAGCACTATTGACGTTTTAGTCTGGATAATTCTTTAGATGAAAGTTTGTCCTGTGCATTGTAGGCTCTTTAGATGTATACTTGGCTTCTACCAACTTGATAAAGTAACATGCCCCCCTCTCTGCCTCTAGTGTGACAACCCAAATGTCTAAAACGTCCATGTGTCCCCCAGGTGGCAAAATTGCCTTTAGTTGAAAACCACTGTTGAAGTATGATCCCCATGTATCAGGCAATATGCTAGACTCTGTACAGATTTTATTTCATGAACATATAATACTTTCCTATCTTTATCTTCCTTTTAATTCAGTTCACTCACTTTTTAATTTATTTTGTGTTGCATCTTTACCTTTGTATAGCACTTTTGTTTAAAGGTCCATTATATATAACCACGCATTGCTTCTCTTAAACCTGCCACACCTCTTAAAAATAGATATTAGCATTGCCTTTTTAGCAGGCAGACACTGACAACTAGAGATCTCCGTTAAAAAAAAAAAAACTGAACAAAGTCCAAATAACAAATGCTGGAGAAGCAAAGACTCAATATCAGGGAACATTTAATATCTTCATTTCTCGTTATGTAAAAATATATGACATACAGTCACTTTACTGCACTATCAAATGCTAGATCTTATTATTTCTATCTAACTGTACGTTTATACCCATTTACCAATCTCTATTATCTCTCCCAAAACCCTTCTCAGCCTCCATTAATCATCATTCTGCTCTCTACTTCCATGAGATCAACATTTTTAGCTCCCACCTATCAGTGGGAACATGTGATACTTGTCTTTCTGTGCCTGGATTACCTCACTTAACATAGTGACCTCCAGTTTATTTATGTTGCTGCAAATAACAGGATTTCATTTTTATGACTGCGTATTATTCCATTGTGTATATATACCACAATCTATTCACCCATTGGTGGACACATAGGTTGACTCCATATCTTAACTATCATGAATAGTGCTGCAATAAACATGGGTATGCAGGCATCTCTTTGATATACTGATTTCCTTTGTATTTATTTTATTTTATTTTTTGAATAAATTTCCAGTAGTCGAATTTCTGGATCATATGTGAATTCTCTTTTGGTAATAGCCATTTTAACTGGGGTGATACTTCATTGTGGTTTCTATTTCCCTAATAATCAGTAATGTTGAGCATTTCATCATATTCTTTTGGCCATTTGTGTGTCTTTGCTTTTGTTTTTGTTTTTTGCTTTTTTGCTGTTTTGTTTTTGTTTTTTTTTTGCCATAGAGTGTTTTGCTTTATTAATCTGGATAGTAGCCCTTTGTTAGATTAATAGTTTGCAAATACATTCTCCCCTCCTACAAGTCATCTCTTCACTGTTTGCTGTGCTGCAGTTATTTAATTTAATATTGTTCCACTTGTCTATTTTTATTGCTTATGCTATTGAGGTCTCAGCCATAAAATATTTGCCTATTGGTGGGAGTGTAAACTAGTGCAACCTCTGTGGAAAGCAGTGTGGCGATTCCTAAAAATCGACCTCCCATATGACCCCGCAATCCCTCTGCTAGGAATATACCCTGAAGAACTCAAATCACTCTACCAAGAAGATACCTGCAGTCAATATTTTACAGCCTATTTCATTAGGCATAGTAGCTACCTGACCCACCATCAATACACGATTTCAAGTCCAAGCAATTCCTAAAGATTACAATAAGATTTTCTCTGTGGACTTCCTTATGCCAGTATTCCTCTGCAGGCTCTCTTCTCCCTTAAAAAAAAAAAAATCATAAGCTCTTTCTCTGCCCTTTTGTAGTAGGGTAGAGCTTATTTATTTATAGAATACATCTTAGCTGCTTCCCATAGCAAAATATTATTTTGCAATCTGAATTCAAAAGATAGCTTGAGTAATAACTAATATTTATATACTCCTTACTACATGCCAAGCACTGTTTTACATTCTTTGAATATATATGAAAGCATTTAATCCTCAGAGAACTCTATGAAGTAGGTACTCATATCCCTATCCAAATCTGTTCAGTTTCTGAGTTCACTGAGCATGTTTAATGGCCAAGGAAACTGCATTATGATCTTCAGTACTCCTACTAGGGATGGTGAAAAGCCTAAGTTTAAATGGCAAGTAATGTTATAAAAATGCAAATGCAAATCGATTTGGCATCTTTATTGCAACAGCAAGGGTTTAGAAAGGAAGAATTCAGACAGGAAGAGTTATCTATACCATTATCTCCATTTTCACGGAAAAAAACTAAAGCACAGGTAGGTTAAGGAGACTGCCTAAGGTTTCATGACTAATAAGTAGCAGAGCCAGAAACACTATCTGGGCACTGTGGCTCCAGTCAATATTATGTTTGTGCCCAGCTAAACACCATTTTCCTTCGTTGTGGCCTGGAGAGTAATCCCTGCACATTAACCCTGTAGATTTTCTGGAAATATTTTTGGGGAGGTTAGCCAGAGTTCTTATCCCATTTTCTCTGGAGCCCAATTTGTAAACAGACTCTGATTATATGTTCTATTAGCACTGACATAAATAAGTCTTAGATACTGACACTTGCTGCTTTTTGTACAGCTTAACAGTCTAATCTCATGGCATACAGAATCATAATGTTCCATTTAGTCATCATCTTTAATGAAATCCACAACAAAGATGAAACAAGTGATCTTTCTGTCTTGCAGAAATAGGAAAAGCAGACTTCTACAGTAGATAAAGCCAGGTTGAAGTGTAGCATAACTTGAGCCCTTGCTCTGAACACTCTTTCTTGCAGCCTCTGACAATTTAGGGTCTCTTCAAAACACTGCTTGTACTCAATTAATCATGCTTGTAAGATCTGGCTTTCTTGAGACAGTTAGGTTAATACCTGTATTTAACCTTTCAATATTTCCTGAAGTATTTAATGAATGATGCTATGAATTTACTTAAGAGCTCAGTCAGGGCCCTCATGAAATTGTGCAAAATCATGGGTACTCAACATTTTCATAGTTGCTTTCATATATGTATGTCAGTTGATTGCTGTCCAACAAGAAAACCAACAGATAAATTCCTGTTTACAATTAAATAAAATTTTGTCTGTTAAACTGACAACTAGTAACTTTATAAGTTTCAGTGGAAAAAAAATCATGTTTGACTTCAAAACTCTGTTTACATTTTCATATAGTAGCAAGACTGGGCATAAAGTAGGACTAAACTTACATTCAATCAATAAGAGTAACAAAAATATGTATTTCACCAGAGGCCTTCCAGTGGTAAGGGCCCTGGCCATTCCTGTTAGCCAGAGTGTCTGCTTCTGTGTCACTGTGTGATGAGGAGGTCAAAGGTATGTGGCAGCTTCCAGGAGACCCAAGAAGCCACACCATAAACATGGTGCATATTCCTGGAGCTCTTCTTCAGTTCAGGGAGAGTAAAAATTTCATGGTAGTGAACTGCAATGCACAAAATACATGAGCTTAAGATAAATATCTAAAACTAAAAAATGTCAGGGTAAAAATTTCCAAGTATGCAGCTAGTATCCCTCGTGATTATGGATACTCTGGTGAGAAATGCTAACATTCAGAGCCCTAAGATGTTCAAGGAGAGCTGGATTTAGAGGACCAGGATTTAACCATGACTCCGTCACTTACCAACTGTATGACCTTGGCCAAGACACTTGCCCTCTTTCTAATCTTCAGTATATCTATGCAAGGAGATTAAATTTCATAATCACTATGGTCACTTCCAGTTTGAAAAGTCTTGTGGTTCTTGTTTATGTTTTAGAGCTCTACCTAATTCCCCCATCACATCATTTCTAATAAGTGTCATCTGTTTACCCAGCATAGAGGTTTCATGCCACTGTGAAATATCCCCAGGAGATCTCTACAATCTATACAATCTAAACTGTTAAAATCCCACTCGTTAGGCAATTACTGCTCACCTAATGAGGACTAACCAATACTCCCAAATGCAAAATATACATCATAGAAAATAATTTTACCAATATTCAAATTTTATCTATTTTTTTCTTTGTGGTTTCTGGCTCATCAAATATCCAGGGATGATTTTAGGGTTTACTGGGAATTATCTGAACTCGCCCCTGTTGTAACTGTTCATAGCTTTGCTTTGTTTTTAATTGAAATACCCTCACATACTTTTCCTTCTTAAAGGAGTACTTACATAGACAACCTAAGTAAATCTGAGTCAATAGTAAAAAATGCCTGAAACACACCATAAACTCTGTAATACACATTACTTGAACATTTATTTTAAAAATTTAAAAAAATTTTAATAAACATTGTCATATTTTCTTGTGATTTATACAATTTAAAAATAAGTTTGCGCTTTCACATAATTTGTTTTTAAAAAATATCGTATCTGAATTACAAATTGTAAGCAACATCCATTATTTCACAGCTCACCATCTCTCATAACATTATCATTTTACTGAATACATAGAAAAAGGTCAGTGAGTGATTTGATTGGAAGGTATACTACAGTGAAGAGCAGTTTTAAGATAAAAATCTTTGTAGGAATCCATTTGTAAGTCTACATCTCCAGTCTGTGAATAAATGGATGCTCTTTTACAATTGATGATGATCACTATGGAATACTGGGAGGTATGCCCTACAACTTAGGAATTGGTGTGGCCGTCACTGCTATGCTCTCGATTGCACACTCATCAGTTCCCCTGCGGATCCGGAAGTAGCCATTCTCACCCCATTGAGTGCCCCAGCTGTTTTTAACAATCCAGTAATCCAGACCAGAGGTGGCATCAGTGCCATAGCCTGTGAGCAGAACAGCGTGATTAGTCAGCTCAAAGGGGTTGAAAGGATCTCTCAGGCCAGTGTGGTGATAGATCCCCCCTCGGTAGTGGAGAAAGTCATCATAGACTTCAAAAGCAACTGCCATGGGCCCATGCTGGACCAGCTCAAGCTTCATCAGAGCTTCATTGCAGCCCCCATAGAAACCTCCCACATAGTGGTAATCAGAGGAGTAGTAACGAAAACAGTCTTTCTTCATTTTGCATGGAGAATCAGTGCCTGTGTAAGGGAAGCAGGCCTCTTCCACCACCCCGAAATCTTGGGCATACTTTCCTGCAATGAGGTATGGGAAGCCACCTTCACAGCCTGAGGATAAATGACACACATGGTTATTACCCCTTATCAGAAAAGGGAACAGGGGGAATTGCCCAATTTCCTATTTTTCTTCACTGCACCATTATTTCTTATACATTACCCCTGAAAGTTGTTGTTAGCTCAAACATCACTTCACGCATCCATCTATTTCCCACCTAGCTAGCTATTCTTTTACCCTCGTCTATTTAACAGTATTTATTTAGCACCTGATATTGAAGGTAGTTATGGTATAGCAGTTAAGTGGTGAGGCTCTCAAGTCAATGTAGGTTCAAGCCCAAAGCTGTCTGAAAAATTTAATTTGTCTGTTCCTCTGTTTACTTATGTGTAAAATATAAATGGTAATAGAATCTTCTTCACAGGGTTAAGTTAGTTACTTTACATAAACACAACTAAAACATTAGCTATTTGGCTGGGTGCGGTGGCTCAAGTTGGGAGGCCAAGGTTAGGGGATTGCCTAAGCTTGGGGGTTCAAGACCAGCCTGAGCAACATGGTGAGACCTCCTCTCTACAATAAATCAAAAAATGAGCTGGGCGTGGTGGCACATGCCTGTGGTTCCAGTTACTTGAAAGGCTAAGGCAGAAGGATCTCCTGAGCCCAGCAGGTTGAGGCTGCAGTGGCCATGCCAAGGCACTCCAGCCTGGGCGACAGAGTGAGACTCTGACTCAAAAAAAAGAAAAAATAACTATTATTGCCCCTGCCAAATGGCTAGACCTCATGCCTCAGCTCTTGCTCAAGCACATCTTCCCTGACAAACTCCTGGGGAAGATTCCCCCACCTCCCTCCTACAGTCCTGGCCCTGTGATACACTTCCACAATCATATACTTTTTCTTCACTATTCTCGCCATTATAATTATTTAATTGCTATTTCTCTCCCTTAACTGTAAGTTTCATGAGGATAAAGATTGTCTTGCTACACTACAGCCCCTAGGGACCAGCAGTTACAATGTATGTGTTTAATAAAGATTTCAGAAAGAATGAAAGGTTCACTGGCAAATAATCATGCACCAGCAGTTCCACTGGTGAGCTGGGAAACTTTCCATTGGCAATTCTGGGCTTGACAGCAGAATTTGTTAAAATGGTAATGTTTCTGCCCTAACCAATCGCAGCTGGGTTTTCTACATATAATACATGTGGCCTGTCCTGAAAGTCTAAGTACAGAATTTAAAAATTCTCCTAGAGAGAAATCAGTGTTAGTATGGTTTTAATGGAAGTTGAGTTTTGGAGGGAGACCATGATTTCAGTTGAAACTTCAATGTTTAAAAGCTGTATGACAGTCAAAATATCATAAAATTTCTCTGTGCCTGTTCCTTACCTATGAATAGAGATTATACATTTATTTCTTTTCAGGGTTTTGAGCACTGTCATGTAATATATGCAAGAAGACAGAGCTCATTCAATATGTAGTAACTATTGACATTTTGCTGAATGGTACGGTGAATTCCATGAGAAGCCATCCATTGATAAGTGAAAGTGCCAGACTTGCATCAAAGTTTTATGACTGCAGACACTCTACTCACTCTACTATGCCATCCTATGTCTTTGTCAACAATGGTCAACTACACACAGGTAAATAGCTCATAAAATATGACTAAAATACACTACTTACCTTGAGCGTACTGGCTGCAAGACACAACCTCCTGAGGACTCAAGATTGGGGTCTGAGAATTGTTGGTTAGTATACGAATTCTTGCTTCTAGCATACCCATAGAAGCAAATGAGTAGCAACTGCCACAAGATGCTGGAGATGAAAAAGAAAGATACACAATTCAAAAGACATCTGAAATCTCACAAAGAATTATACAAAAACCTGAGTGGATCAGACACATTAATATATTTATAAGGAATGGTGCTTTTGTTCATAAGGATCTGCATGGTATGCAACATTCAACCAACAAACATTGCTGAGCTTACAGGCAAACATGAGGATTTCATCTTTTTCCATCAAAAGGCAAACACTATTATATGGAACTTTCTTTGAGAATATTGTAGAAGCTGAAAAAGAAACTCCATAACTTCTGAGAAGTATTTGACAGTATTCTTGATAATGAAGAAAATATTTATGCCTACAATATTCTGAGTCATCAAGTTGAGAGGGATGCCCATGAGTTGAACTTTTACATATCTCTAATGCTATGAGATGAGTATTGATGTTGAATTCCCAACTTTCAAGGAGGTGATGGTATTAGGAGGTAAAGCCTTTGAGATTAGTACTCTGATAACGAAGGCCCCAGAGAGATCTCTCATCCCTCCCACCATGTGAGATCACAGAGAAGAGGAAGCAGTCTATGAATGAGAAGGGGAGTCCTCGCCAGACACCAATTCTGTGGGCATCTTGATCTTATACTTACTACCCTTAAGAACCATGACAAATAAATTTCTATAGTTTATAAGACATCCAAGTATATGAAATTTTGATAGAGCAACTAAAACAGACTAAGACAAACAGCCATTTTCCAAAGCACAATGGGTAGAATTAACCCTAAGAACGGCTCAAGTGTGGGTGTGTTGTAGAGTTTTTGATTTAACCTGAGTAGAGGAGACAAAATATAAAAAGGCCCAAGAAAGGCAAAAGTGTGATTATAATAATGACTATGGTATTTAAGGTAGGCAAGGAAGTGAATACATGGTCAGAGGAAGAAGAAAATTAGTTGAACGGGAGATGACAACAGAAAACTATTTTATTTAATACCCAGATGCTTTAGCAAGGACAAAATAAATTTATTTAAGAAGCATCTTCTACAAGTACAGCTGCTGTTCCAAGAAAATAAAAAATGTTGTATTATGCAGTAATTTATACGAACAACATTATTTTTCTGTATGTTTTTTCAAAATGTATAGGTAAAAGAAATAAATGCGCATAGAAAAAATGGTACCTATGCAACAAAACTGGAACTTTTACTCTTTACAATTCCAGAAAGAAATGAGCATAATTTTAATACCTCTATTATTATATAGCCTCTTTCACTTCTGCCACTAATATAATTTCTCCATAGAGATATGCTCATCCAAGATAGTGGTATTAAATCCAGTTCTACACAATTGGCAATGTTTTTCAATTTACTATACTAATATATTAGTTTTACCAAATTATTTGAATGGTGAACACTCCCTTATGAATGTAAAATAAGGTTCATGAATAGTCAATTATACAATTCAAAAAACTCATTCTACTTAAAGAAAAGTCTCTTTAGTAAATCTGAATTTAGGAATTTAATAACTGCCTTCTCCGGAGCCCAGCAGGTCAAGGCTGCGGTGGCCGGGAGCGGCCACTGCACTCCAGTCTGGGCGAGACTCTGACTCAAAAAAAAAAGAAAATTTTCAAAAGAACATAATGCATTCAAGATATTACCAGGGATACCGCTTTCCCTTCTCCAGGTAACTGCTGATTTACATTCCTCCTGAGGCGAAGGAAAGCCAAACATATTTTTTTGCTCAGCCTCCAACATTCTAAAAATCTGAAGTACATATATTGTTTTTGCCAATTTAAATTGTGAATTTCCTGGAATATTCACAGTATATGTTTTCTTTATCTTTATGCCTAACACAATAAAGGAACTCAATGCACGTCTATAGAATGAATGAGTCAAGGAATGAACAAGTGGATACATAGTGAATGCAGAGGAAACAGTCACCGTTTCCTTGCTCTTAAGCTATAGGGGAGGCAGAAGCCTAGATCCTAATGTGAACCTCCCCTAAACAGTTCAACAGTACATAGAGGTCCTGGACCTAGAGTCCACCATTAAAGCCCTATTTTCTCTTAACTACTGCTACCATTTCTAATGTTTCCTAAAATCCTCCACCTGAAAAATCTCAGATTGACCACATCATATACTTCCTTTGGTGCTGAGTGGTCACTTAAATTATGAAGATTAGAAAAGAAGCATTTGAAAGAGTAGAATTCATCCAGTGCACAACTCATTGACTTGATAATGTATAACTGAGGCTCAGAAGGAGGCAATGACCTATCCAAGGTCACACAATTAATAGATGACAGAAGCAAGTGCCTTAGTGTCTACAAATGCAGGATTAGCATCCTTTTCAGTTCATAGTTCTGGGTCTACTCTAAAGAATTTCCAGGGTTTCCTTTCCTGTCATGTAGTCACTAGATAAAATAAAATTAACGTATACCCTTTGTTTTCAAAAGCATCTAAATAATACTATCCTTAAAATCCATCCTTCAAATGATAGAATGTCAAAGAACTGGGTAAGTGATTAAACAGTCAAAGCTATTTATCTCCTTTCATGAGACACCAAGGTCTTACAAGAAACAACACCTTCCCAAGAGAGTCTGGAAAAAGTCCCTTTGGGGTCACCCAGCTTTTTTGGCCCATAGCAACCATGGAAATGATCTTTCTCAGTACTAATCACTAAACCCTCACTATCTGACCATAAATCACTGTGAAAAGGACACATCACAAGTACATCCAAGGGCTCAGAATGTTCTCTATTTACAGAACAATCACAGGAATGAAAGAAAGACAATCTTCAGCAAGCCCTTGACTTCCAGAATAATGTGTCAGCTACCAGGGTAATTTATACCTCAATTCAAAAGGCAAGGCCAGTGTAGATTCTAAAAGAATTATTATACCTTAAGAAAACTATAATGCAACAAAGAATAAGAAATGGAGCTGACCCTAGCTGGAGCTCTGAAGTAATCAAATTTCCACAATCTTGAAGAGATAACATGATTTTTCTCATGGTATGATGATCAACTGCAACTTCCAGCAGTGAAGACCACCTGACCTAGGAGTTAGGAGTCAGAATTCTTTTTCCCTTCCTCTCTTGCCTTGCCCCTTATTAGCTGTGTGACCTTGGGCAAGTCACTTGACCTTTTGGCATCTTTAAATAATTTTGAACATAAAATGGATCAGGCAGAGCAGACAGTTTAAGGTCCTTTCTATTCTGTTCTACTAACTTAAGTAGCATTTTTAATCAAGAATTAAACAGACTAGATTTTAACCATTTTAGGAAAACATTCTGCATTTCCTAGTTAATGTGACTCATGAGAGATACTCCTCCTCTTTCTTGAAGATACAATAATAAGTGTAAAAAGCACAGCTGGAGAAAACAGAGTCCACCTCACCCAATTTCCAAGTTTCTCTTCCCTCCCACACCAAAGTAAATCTAGCTATAAGGCTGTTTTCAAAGCTGTTTTCAACTGTAAAGGCAAAACCTTCATTTGTCCTTCCCATATTTATTTGTCTTTAATCTCAGTTTGCTCTCTGAATAGAGAAATGTTATGAATTCCCTCAACTGTAGCTAACTCTGAATTCTGGGTTTCATAGAACACTGGTATTGGTAAAATTAGTGAAAAATTTCAAGTAGCCCAATTGGCAGGAATAAATAGTTTTTGTTTTTTTGTTTTTGTTTTTTTCCAACCTGCAGTGTAGAAAACCAAAAGGAAGACAAAAGAGGAAACTCTATGTACTTTATCTTCTCAAGTACCTGACAAAATAATATAGATGAGGGCTCAGCTCAAAAGCAATTAATACATTAACGTCTTTTGTTTTGAAATTGCCATTTGTGTATACAAATCATATTTATAAACGTCAAATAATAGGAAATATTGGAGATATTAATATCTTTTACCAACCTATAAGAAAACCAGTGTCAAAGAATTTGGCTTTAGAGAGTCTAATTTCCTTTCCCTGAATTACTGATTCATATCATCCCTTGTCAGTCACAACTTTTGAGAAAGGTGTGAAACTACAATTTTCTATCTCGTCCCATGCTACCATTGAATTTTAAAACACTTTATCAAAGCAGTTATCTATTGTAGTTCAATATTTTGTATGTCTTGCCAAATCAGAAATCATTGGGACAAGGAACTTATCTTTATATCTTCTGCCATTAAAAAAAATTCCTAACACTTATTAGATATTTTACAAAAAGAAGCAACAATATAATATGAGGAGGTCACATTACAGAATGCTAACTATGTGCCAGGGCCTCAATGATCAAGTCAACATGTGACATGCATTATTTAATTAATTCTCTCAAATAAGCACAGGTCTATATGATGGCAGGATAATACTTAACCTTCTCTCAACATCAACCCTTTAATTTCACTTTTCATTCACCTCTCAATTACCTTCAAATCTCTCTCATTTCCAATTCCACCCTTCCAAAATAGCTTATCCAGGAAACTGAGAAGGTAGGGAACAATTTCAGGATCTACACTTTATCCAGACCTGAAGAGTCCCAGAATAACAGGTAGAAAGGCAAAGTGATGAGACCACTGATGTCAGAGGAAGGACAGGAAGCTTGCTGACTGGGTGTAATAGTCACTGGAGGTGCTGTACATTCAGGACATAGTAAGAATCCAATGAGAGAGCCTGAAGGCAAGTGACGACGCTGAGACATGGGATAGGCTGAGTACTGCTACATTTTTAGAAAAGAGGAAGAACAATTTATCTTCAGGTATTGTAATTTATAATCCTCCCAGGAGACACTAATCAGAAGGTTTCCAAACAACAAATAAGACATCTATTTTACAGTTGCCAATCATTCATGGGTACTATTATCTCTAAAATGAGCTCAGAAATAATAAACCTGAGTATTATATCAATGGGTCTCAAGGTTATTGTTGCCTATTATTTAAGATAAGTTAATTTGCTATCAAGTGCAGTTCAAGAAAGTGTAATTAAATCAACTAATACCATATGAAATTTCTGAAAATAACTGGCAATGCAATGATAGTGATACTTTTGATGAGCTCGGGCTCTGCCCCCAAGTTACCACTCAGGAAACTGGGTTAATAAATACCATCACATGTGATGTTCTAATGTAAAGTGAATTGAAAGGTCCTTAGGCAGCTCAAAAGATCTACCAGAAAAACAAATATTTAAGAATCTATTTTCTGGACATATGTAGCAATTAAAGACCAAATGATGGAGGGAATGGGAGGATGAGTAGCAAAGAAAGACTAGCAAACCACTGCAGAAGGAAGACTAATTTTAATGGAATACAATTCTTTGTTTCTACATGAGTCATTCATATTAGAAGGGCAAATATGTGTGTCTTATCACCATGATTATTACTAACTACTTGGGACACATACTGAGAAGAATACTAAAGAATGTTGAGCTCAGTGGAAAGATGATCTGTTACAAAAGTCTGTGATGGATATGAAAGGAAATAATTGGAATTCATAGACTACATATTTTCTATTATTTCCTAAAGGGGATCATGTTCTTTCTATCTATGTATCCCCCAAATCCATCCCAGATCTGACTCATAGCAAGTGTTCAATACACAGTTCAGAAAAAATTAATGAAAAATCAGGGTTTTTTTTTGTTTGTTTTTACCTTGGTTTCGAACAGGGCTAACAAAATTGATACCATGAACATTTCTCCAGTCCCAAGATGTTGGCAAGTGCAAAACCTTTTGTTGTAATTCAGCAGTCAGAGGTGCAGGTTTGGGTCTAGAAAAGAAATATATGCATTTGACGTCAATATATAATCTTCCCTTTAAGGATGATTTCCTAACCTCTAATTCCATGATTTCAACTATCAGTCTAGGCAGAACCTAGATTGAGACACAGAGAGTACTTGTCCTGCGAGTGTTTCAATGTGTTAATTATACAACTAAGTTGTGTAAATGGCTTTCATTAACTGTTCTTTTTCAGGATCTAGTCATTTTTCCTTGTAACATGACACTGGTTCTGTATACCATTGTGATGTTATTTTTAGTATAACTGAATAGCTGCATTCTTACTCACTTTTGACAGATTTTGACCAAGAAAGGAGATACGAAAAGTTGAAAAGGTATACAAAGGGTTAACAGAAAATAGAGAAATTGCTGACAGTTGACTCAGGAAATAGCAACTCTGGTACTGAGGTGATTGTAAAAGAAGTGAAATTGAAAAAAAAAAAAGAGGAGGAGGGGAGTAGAAGGAAAGAGAGTGGAGGGAGGGGAGGAAAGGAAAGAAAGGTCTTAAGCATAAAGTAGGAGGTTGACTAGCTCCATGAATGAAAGATAAAACTGTTTCATCATGATAGAGCTATACCTTACATGATACACCTGGAGAGTAAGACACATAAAGTAGTCTGGGCCCTTGAATAAATAGAAATCTTTTAGAAATGAGAAAATGGTACCACAGATTTCTCTGGTTTTAGATTTATTTTTTATTTATTTTATTTCATTTTATTTTATTTATGTCTTTTATTTATTGAGTCAGAGTCTCACTTTGTAGCCCAGGCTTGAGTGCAGTGGCACGTTGCTCACGGCCACCACAACCACAACCTGCTGGGCAGGTGACTCTTCCACCTTAGCCTTCCATAGCAGCTGGAACTACAGGTACGTGCCACTATGCCCAGCTAATTTGTATTTATTTATTTATTGTAGAGGTGAGATCTCGCAAAGTTGTCCAGGCTGAGCTGGAACCTGTGAACTCAGGCAATCCTCTCACCTCGGCCTCCCAAAGTGCTAAGATTATAAGGGTGAGTCACTGTGCTTGGCTTATTTTTAATTTTTTTTTTTTGAGTTGAAGTCTCACTCCGTCAGCCAGGCTGGAGTGCAGTGGCATGCTCACAGCCATTCCAGCATCAATCCGCTGGGCTTAGATGATCCTTCCACCTCAGTCTTCCAAGTAGTTGGAACTATAGGCATGCACTACCACGCCTGTAATTGTTTGATTTATTGTAGAGAAGAGGTCTCACCATGCTGCCTAGGCTGGTCTTGAATGTGCAGGCTCAGGCAATCCTCTTGCCTTGGCCCCCCAAAGTGCTGAGAATACAGGCTTGAGCCATCACATCCGAGCCTGTTTTGGGATTTAAAACACCCCCCCCAACCACGCACAAAGCACTGTAGTTCTAGACACACCAGACTTTGGGTTTTTCTCCAAGCCTGCCAAATGCCCTCGGTGTTCCACATCTCTGTGCTACTGCTCCTTAATCTAAAATGCCTGTTGTTCACTACCTAGAACTCCTTTAGAGCATTTCCCTAACCTCTAATTTTTATAACTGCTCATAGAGCAGCCTTCTTCACCAGCCCTCAACAAAACTCACTTCCTATCTCTGTGTTCCTTATTGCTTAGGGACTATTGTTACACTGTGGTCACATGTAATCGTTCTGTTATTGTAAACCATTTGAATTTCTTATTCACCTTGGCATTGTCATACCATACTGTTCTAATTTTTCGGTGGTTATCAGGATGGTTTTTACTATGTTCCAATTTAGTCAATAGTAAAGATTCTTTCAGGACTACTTCATGTCCTCTGCACCTATTTCCAAGTGGTTCTGTCTCACACACTTCTCTTAGAGATAACAATACATGACAAAATGGAAGTGAGATGAAACAAACAGAAAGAAAGTCAACAATTCACTGAAGAGAAACAATCATTACTCAACAATTATATAGAATAGATAGCATAGTCTATACAGAGATGTCAATTAATTGTTCACTAAAATATTTCCTAAGCCAGAGACATTGGTAGAAGATTTTACATGATATAGAGTTAAACATGAGGTAGTCATTGACTATATAGAAGACAATGCTAAGAAATATGCAACATACAAAAATTACTATAACAAATACAAAGAAGTTGCAGTAATATAAAACACACAACTTGGATAACATCCAAAGAATAACCAAAGAACATAAAAAGCCAGGTGCCACAGATAATTTTAATATAATATGGGAAGAAAAAACAATTCTTAGACATTTTTTTCTGAATAACAAATGAGGTTATAAACAAATTTTAAGTGGAACTATTTAAATGTGAAATAGTTTTCATATTGAAAGATTACTTTGGAGAAAATATTTGAACAATGGGTTTTTTTTCTATTCTCTCATACAACAACACCAACAACCACCAACACAGAAAACTTCTTTTTTCTTTCCTTCTTTCAATAGCTTTAGGGAGTACAAACAGTTTTGTTGACATTGATGCACAGTTTAGTGGCAAAGAAATCTGGGTTTTAAGTGTACCCACTACCCCCACAACATAGAAGACTTTTATGATCACATATGTGGGAGTTACTCCATCTATACCAAGCAAGCAAGCAATTCTACAGCAAATACCAGCTGTCCTCCAATTCTATTTGCCACAATCTATCTGGAGATAGTGTCAGATCCCATAGGTTGAGGGCTTAGTCCCACAAGATGGCCCCTTACTTTCAAGGCTAATTGAAAGCCTCAGGTTGTTTATCAGGGATTCCACAACCTCCTTCTTGGGTTTGACTGATTTACTGGACTGGTTCACAGAACTCAGGGAAATACTTACTTACCTTTACTGGTTTATTATAAGGGTTTTATAAAAAATAAAAAAAAAAACACAGATGAAGAGATGCATGGGAGAAGACACAAGGAGCATCCATCCCTCCCCGGGCACACACATCCACCTACTGGAGCCTCCACTTCTTCAGCTATTATAAGCTCTCTGATCCCTACCCTCTTGGGCCTTTTATGCTTCATTGGATAGGCATGATTGACAACATTGCAGAAACATGATTGGACAAAAAGAGTATAATCTAACACTAATAGAATGAGTGGGGAAACTGAGCAAAACCTGTCCAGATTCCTCTTAGTCTCCTTGTGAGGCATTCCTTCCTCCAGGGTATGGGGAGGACCCCTTCTGAAATGAGGGTCTTAGGTTCCACAATCAGAAAAGCAGGGGAAGATTAGAGTCCTGTTGTGGACAAGTGAAAGGAGGGTGGGAGAAGGAGGGACAGAGAGGGAAATTCTACTTTCTGAGGTCTGTTTCTGAGGTCTAAAGTGCCCCAATATTATTTAAAAAAAAGACTATAACAAGGGCTACAGAAGTCATAAGCCAGAAACTGTGGACAAAAACACAAATATGTGTGATTATATATATATAAAATTTCCATATAATAGCACAAAGACCAAAAAAAATCAATATATGTTAACTATCTTATATATACCTGAGAATATACTAAGTACTATAAAGAATAAAAGAGAAATTTAAGTTTGGCAGCATAGCATAATATAATTTCAGTGCATATATCTCAGAGTCTTATCAACCTGTTTCAGATGGCTTCACCACTTAATATCTGTGTACTACTTGGCAAAGAACTTAACATTACAAAACTACTGTTACTCTTATTAAAATGGGTATAATCATACACACCTCAAACGGTTGTTATGAAAATCCAATGTAATAATGGTTAACAAGTGCTGAGAATAGTACCTGTCTCTGATAAGTCCTTGATAAATGGCAGCTATTATGATAACTACCACGCCATCATCATCCATGTCATTAAGAGGACTAAATAAGATGCTGATACATTTAAACAATTATCTGGCACAAAACAGGCAGTTAAATGTTAACTTCCTTCTTCCTACCATCACATAAGCCAGAGCATTTGCTCATCAATGCACACGCACAGATACAACAAAAATAGTGTGAGGATTGAGTTGCACAGTATGAAAATAAAGAGAGAGAAAGAGTAGTGTAGGCAATAGAGAAGTGAGGATCACAAACATTTTAAGTACGCTAAACATTAATGGCTCTTCATCTTTTGAACCCAGACTCTTTAGGAATCCAATAAAAGTTCTAGACTCAGAGAGAGGCCCACAAATTAAATTTTGTCTATAATTTTATCAGTTTCACAGAGTCCCTAGACCTCGGGTTAAGAATCTTTGGCAATTTCCATTAGGTCATTAGATTCTTACCAACAGAACTTTTATATACAAAAATGCTACTGAAATATCAGGCAGCCAGAGTATTTAAAAATTAAAAAAAGATATGGAAGGTCACTACATAATGATAAAAGCTTCACTCCCTCAACAAAAAATATTCATCCTAAACATATATGTACCCAACAAAGAAGCACCAGCTTTCCTAAAACAGCTTCCAAGAAAACTAAAAAAGATATTGGCTCTAACACTATCACAGCTGGGAACTTAAATACCCAACTAACAACCATAGACAGATCATCAAGACAAAAAATCAACAAGGAGATCCAAAACCTCAACATGACACTTGACTAAATGTACTTAATTGATAACTCCAGAACACGCCACTCAACAACCATTGAATATACATTCTACTCATCACCATATGGAACGAACTCTAAGATCGACCACATTCTCAGCCATAAATCAAGCACAAACAAATTTCATAAGATTGAAATACTGTCATGCACCTTCTCAGACCACAGTGGAAAAATAAATAAATATCAAGACCAACAAAGTTCCCCCAAAACCCATAAAGACATGGACACTAAACAGCATGATGCTGAACAACTCCTGGGTCAACACGAAAATCAAAACAGAAATTAAAAGATTCCTGGAAACAAATGAAAATAGAGAAATATCTTATAAAAATCTCTGGAATGCCATGAAGCAGTACTAAAAGGGGAGTTAAATCTCTATGAACACACATGAAGAAAATGGAAAGATCACAAGTTAGCAGCCTAAAAAATTACCTAAGGAAGTTGGAAAAGCAAGACCATCAAAAC